AGACAGCCCCCCCCCCGCGCCTGTTACGACACTGGCTAACACGCCAATCATCCCCCCCAATGAAAAATATTTTTCTACGCCACTGGTGTTGAACAAAGTTGTTGACTACATGTTTTGTGTAACAGTTGTTCATTTTGGGAAAAAATCAATATTTTTGGTAAATAACAAGTAATTTGAAAACTAATGCGCTAAATAACGTAAAAAATAAACCTTTTCCCAATTCATATTAATTTATTTACACTCATTAATTTACATTTTAATTTTAGCTTGTCTGATGGAACTTAAAGAATAACAAAGACATTGTCAATTGAATTCCTGATTATGAAAGAAGTAAAAATTCTGAACATATCCGTGGTTAAAATTATTAATATTTTTAACCAGAAATATTAAAAATACGATTTTTAATATTTTAGTCTAAGCTCCGCCCCCTTGTCATGTTCATTGAAGCGTAAGTATGGCCGTGAGGTCATCTCAGTACAAGTTCAACTTGGTTTCGTTGCACGCTCTGTAATTTCAAAAGACTCCTTCTGTGGCCATTTACGTCAATACGCTACGCCAATATACAGTACATCGAATCAAATCTCTACGGAAGTCATTCCAGATGTTCAGATGACGAGATCCTGGATCTCGTTATGTGTAGGCCTACATCATTTAGAAAAAATGATCAGATGACTGGATCCTGGATCTCATCTGAACATCTGGAAGGTCACTATTAAGCTTCCGTAAATCTCTGTCAAAACAACAGAGAGCGGTTGTAAATGTTGTTACCGACTGTGCGTCACATCTGTTAAGGTCAACTTTAACTTTAGGTTAAATTCTGTAGGCGGAACCAACGATCGGAGCATTGTGTAGTTACCCAGGAATTGTCCACCACCTCTAAGAACTGAAATTAATCTGACGTTGAAATACTGTAGAGGGCAGCAACCATAAACGTAGTCGATCATGAATGCTTTTGTTCCAATTTTTTTTGTTGAAAGTTCAAATTACCTTTGACAAAATGGTATCACACAGGCTATTCTTTTGCATGTAACGATTTTGTGCTGCCTGGCTGCTTTTTGTACCGTCTGGCTGACTTCGTCTCGCTGCCGGTCTGCAGCAGGATGCAATTGGCAGGATCTCTATCATTCGACTTGACCAAGGAGGACTTGTCAAGATAATTTATGTTGTCAAGTCGACATACATATCATGTCGACACGTCGAAATCAACTATCTTGCCAAGACGACATACTAAAAATGTTATTTTGTCACGGCGAGATAGATTATCTTGACAAGTCGACATAATAAAAATTGTATGTTGTCATGGCGAGATAGATTATCTTGACAAGTCGACATAATACACAAATTGTATGTTGTCATCAGTGGCGTAACGCCTATGAGCTCTCATGCGGCGGTCCGCAGGGCCCTCGAATCTAGGGGCCCCGAAGGGGCGCCCTACCCATAGGTTCCTCGATCTAGTACCCTGACCAAAAAGGACTTTGTTGATAAGTCGACTGTAGGGTATATATCATATATAACGATTAAAGAGAGGGGCCCCTCTCACCCCAGGAACCCCACCAAATTTGTCAAAAAAAAAAATAAATAAATAAAAAATGGAGATAAAGAGAAAATTATATTCACAATTTTAAGTCCGTGTGAGTGCCATTTCCGGCCATCTAGACGTGCCATAATAATACATTTTCTTATCTCAGCCCCATAAGGGCGCAGGCAACAGCATATATGTGTCAAATCGACTGTAGGACATATATCCAGTGGCGGAATAAAGAGTGAGGGGGTGGGAGCTGCCGGCCCGGGGCCCCACTAAATTTGTCAAATATTTTTTAACTGGAGATTAGAAAATTATATTCGCAATTTTATGTCTGCGAAGTGCCATTTCCGGCTATTTAAAGGTGCCATATTCATAAATTTTCTTACCTCAGCCCCAACCATGGTGGGTCTGAGGTGGTCAGGCCTCAATTTTCTGGATCCATATTATATCATTTATTCGTCGTTAAAAACATTTAGAATAACAATGCACATCTAAAATCCCACAATGGAATTGGTGACCGGGATCCAAAAGGGCCCCCAGTTTCAGAAATACACAGGGCCCCCCGCCCTCATCGTTACGCCATTGGTTGTCATGGCGAGATAGATTATCTTGTCAAGTTGACATAGTAAATATATTATGTTGTCATGGCGATATAGATTATCTTGTCAAGTCGACATAGTAAAACATTTATGTTGTCATGGCGAAATAGTAAAAATATTATGTTCTCATCATGGCGAGATAAATTATCTCGACATGTCGACATGATATGTATATGTCGTCTTGACAACATAAATTATCTTGACAAGTCGTCAAGTCTAATGGCACTTAGGTGTTTCTGTAGTTCCCTAAGTTTTCAATGTTTTAAATTCTACAATGAACGGGTTTTTTTTTCTTTTTAGCTGCTCCTGTATGGTCTAATTGTCCCATGAATATAGAAGTAAATGCAACCACAGGTTCAAACAATGCTACAGTCACGTGGACAGAGCCAACAGTATCAGATGACGAGACACCATTTAATCTACTTATTACAGATACTTATTATTCCCCGGAATTACTTGCTGCTAATGTATTCTTAATTGGAGAAACTGAGGTGCGGTATGTTGCCACAGATGAAGTTCCGCTTTCTAGCTATTGTACTTTTACTGTCACAGTTTTAGGTGAGTGAAAATAATGTATGTTTAAATTTGTAAGCATTGTTCTCATATATTTTAAATTGTATTTTATTTATAATACGATTTTACTTTAATTAGCTGAAGCCTATTAAATAGGCTTAACCATATATTTATGTAGATGATTGTTTTCAACTGTAGGAGCTGATGCTAAATATCTACAATCAATGTACTTACCCATAATGAAAGTGAAGCATGGACGCTTCACTATCTGTCTCTTATACACATCTAGATGTGTATAAGAGACAGGTGTTGAGCTTTGCCTGTTTCAGTGGTAGTTTATTTAATCATGATTTTAATCCCGCCCTTGAATCTTGTCAGACATATGAGATCAGTGTCAATCTCCATAGCTACTGTAAAAATGAAGAAATAAAAATGGGTGCAACTCTCATCTTATATAAAAAGTAAGCAGTTTAATGGAAATAAGAATCCTACGTATGAAAAGAATGGTTGATTTCACCTAGATATTTTTACTACAGTACCGGTATATTAAATGCAACTCTTTTATTCAGTAAACTTTCAATAATTTCTCTATGCTTCAGCAATATCAAATTAGTGTAAAAGCAAAGCTTGCGATTGTGGACTCACCTAGAAACGCTCGTCCATCTTATTCATACTACATTTTTTTGTAACAAGAACTTTAACATCCATATATTTTTATGTACACACTTGTGATGTAAGGCAATTTAAGTATTGTAATGTTCATAATAAAGACATGATTTGTGTTAACAATTTACATAGACAACCAAGACCCAGTTATTGATGGTTGCCCAGGTGACTACACAAACACTACTGAGGTTGGATTGCCGTCAAGCGTCGTTTCCTGGACAAGTCCCACGGCAACTGACAACTCGGGAGTGAACCCTGTCGAAAAAAAAAGTTACATGTCTGGTTCAACATTTATCATTGGAACAGAGGACGTAATAATAACATTTACCGATGACTCGGATAATGTCGCAACTTGTCAGTTCAGCATAACAATAAATGGTGAGTTAATAACAGTAATCAAAATAATAATTATTATTTGTATTGTTAATATTGTTATTGTTATTATTTCAAATTAATTTTTAATCTGAGTTGACGAAATATTTTTAGAAATTAAAAGTAAAATGTTTACCTTCCAACTTCGATGTTTCACCTGTGATACCAAGAAGTTACTCATAAATGTTGGTACATGGACCGATGACCTGAAGCTATAGTGACCTTGGTTCGGCTACTGGATGTTGTACGTCATCTTCGATGGATTTCCACAGATGGGGTTTGCCGGTGTCACGAAAATTCAGGAACCATCGAGAAATTAGGTACCAGACCTAATTTCTCGTTTTAAGCGAAAATTTTGGGTTTTTATCGATAAATTAAGTTCCATGAGGTGAACTTTTAGGCGCCCTTAAATATTCATGTATTATGCAAAAACATTCATTTACCCCCACGATTAACACTATTATATGACAAATCCAGCGTGTATTATTAAGAAAAATTCGGTTTTACCGCAGCTCTCTCGAGTGGCTCCCATCCGATCGCTTTTCGGCCATCTTGTAAATGAAATGGTTGCCAAAATCACATATATACGATTTCTAGTAACTTAGGGAATCAATTGTTTAACACTGTACGCTACTATACCCATTTTGGTTCTAGTTGCGCACAGTGATAATGTATAGGATACAATGAAAGTCAGTGACGGGCAGTTTATCACTGTGCGCTACAATACCCATTTTGGTTCTAGTTGCGCACAGTGATAATGAATAGGATAAAATTCAATTCAGTTGATGGGCAGTGTATCGAATGCATAAGTTCACCTCATGCTCAAAAATCAAACTTACAAGTTGTAGAGTCCTTAAATATTAATGTATTATGCAAAACATGCCTTTAGCTACACGATTTACACTATTATATGACAATTCCAGTTTGTATTATTAATTTTTAAAAATCCGGTTTTACCGCAGCCCTCTTGAGTCGCTCCCATCCGATCGCTTTTCGGCAGTTTATCGTTATGCGCTACTACACCCATTTTGGTTGTAGTTGCGCACAGTGCGCAACTATACACATTTTGGATCCAGAGGTGACGGAACTAGGGGGTGCTGTGTTATGGAGAGTAATGTGTGACCGGAAATGGTCTGCAGTCAGTTGGTTGTTACCATGCGCCAGTGATGTTGGAGTATATAGTACAGCAATATGAAACTACTATGTAGGCCTAATGAATGAATAAATTTCGGAGTTTGTAGGGTAGTGAAATGATTATTTCACATTTTAAGTGCTCCCTAAAACTGTAAGCTAAATTACGGTGATTAATTTAATTAGCGAAGATATGGAGACAATTATTTCGAATCCCTCTTTCCAAGAGGGGATGCAAATGCTTTGTGAAAATGAGTACGCCGCGGTACTCATTTTCACAAAGAAATACATACAACTGGTTAGCTAACAATTGTGTCAGTGTTACATGAACACCTGGGAAGGAAGGTGCAATCACGTTGTTACCTAGCAAACGTCTGTACTGTATGGGGGACGATGCTAATGTACTGTGTAGCGGGGGACGATGAGGCATAAAGGCCTAGGCCTAACTAAGACAGTGGAATTATATGTGATAGAAAGTACATTTCGGAAGAAATAAATAAAAATAAGAAAAAAAAAAACAAGAATAATTCATTTGCAGAGGTACAACCTTATTTAAGTATTATAATGCTAACAATGCGGCTCTTGTAGCCCTGGCTTGGGCAAGGCATCCATGTGCAGAGCAGTGGTGTTTGTTTATCCATGAAAAAAGCACGCCGGGAAAGTTTGCCTTACCAGGAAAAGGTGACGTATCTAGCTTATGACGTATGCATGCTAACTAATGTGAGTGTGACGTCACCAAAAAACGAATATTTTCTATTATAACCAAAATATTAATAACTACAAAGTTTCTGGGCGTAAATTCCCTTAATATGAATGAAGGGTTGCTCAATCTCCTTGCCATACAAATTACAGCTCCCA